GGGGTGGGGGTTCTGTTGGGGGACCTGGTGTTTGGTGGGTCTTTGCCTTGGTGGGTTGCCTGCAGGGCAGGTGAGGAAGTTGGTAGCTCCTTAATGTTACCTCCTATGGGGTGTAGGTCTGGGAGGGGATGGGACAGAGGAGCTCCTCTGAACTGGGGTCTGGGACAGAGGAGCTCCTCTGAATTGGGGTCATGTTGGGGTGGTGGTGGGGGACACCTTCATCCCATAGTGATGTCGCTTCCATCCATCTATATCCAGTCCCAGGAGACCTGAGGACATGCCATGACCCTTGTTGGCCATCACCACCCAACTCATCCCAGTGGGGACTGCTGGAGAGGGGCCAGGCTGGCCGATGAGGCCCCAGCTGTGATAAGGTGGTGAGATTGAGGCCAGGGCCTCCCCGTTGGCTCCCAGCATGCCCAGGACCCTGGAAGAGCAGAAGCTCCCCAAGTGCCTATGGGAGCTGGTGAACAGAGTAGTTAGCGGGGCCCCTCACTTCTGGCCCACCTTGGTGGGTCAGCTAGCCCCCAGGTAAGGCTGGGACTCCTCTCCCTTCTCCTTTTTCCCCGTCAGAAGAGGCTGAGCTCTCCACCAGGGTTACCCCAGCTCCGGGGCACCCTCCTGGGCAGGCTGCTCCAGCCTTCCTCCCCTCAAGCTGGGTGGAGAAGACTGGGCTTTGCTCCTGGCCAAGTAGGGCACTTGGCTCGCTGCATCGGCAATGATCTACCATCTCCTGGAGAGCTTCACCTCGTTGGCTTTCCACCCGTCTTTGGCACGGGCTTCAGTGTGCACAAGCCTCTCAATGCTGGTGCTCCATCTCTTTTCCTTCAGCTCATCAACCACCTCAATTAGTGGGAGGTTGGTGGCAATGAGGAGGTCAATGGGAGGCTGGCAGTCAATAAGGAAGGCAGCAGCTCTCTTGCTAATAGATGGCCCTCCATTATCTGTTCCTCCCCACCGAGCATTAAAGCTCTCTCCCAGCATACAACCAAAAAATAACCTAAGAAGTCCTGCATTTTCCCACCTTCTGCAGTTTAGGTGCCCACTCTCTGGGGCTCCCCATGAGGCCAAGACTTTGATGGGTTGCTGCTTCATCCCCAGTAGCTCCAATACCTGTAACGGCAAAGCTCACCCCACACTGACACCCCCCACC